CTCAGGGATGCAAGGACACATCTTGGGGACAAAGGGACACCTGGGGACACTTGGGCTACATCCTAGGGAGACATGAACACCCGAGGGGACTCATGGGCAGGTGGGGACACTTGGGAGACCCCAGGGGGCACATTCCAGGGACAAATGGACACCTGAAGGGACACATCCCATGGACACTGGGGACACCCAAGGGAACACATTCTGGGGACAGACACCTGAAGGGACTGTGGGAATACTTCAACACCTCAAGGAACATATCCCAGGGACACATGGACACCTGGGGACACCTGAAGGGACACATCCCTGGAACACACACGGACACACAGACACCTGAGGACACAAACCCTGGTGGCACCCAGTGACACGTTTAATGCCCCCACCCAGGCACCAGCCACCAAAAGTCCCAGTCCCACCCCCCAGAATCCCTACAAAAGTACAAAACCCACGTAAAAAAATTCCCCAGGAATCCATCGGGAAGCGGGAGCACCGCTGGGAGCAGCCACCGGTGCGGCGCCGGTGTCGCCGGGGGTGTCACACGGCAGAGGTGATGTCCCCCGGTGTCCCCGCGGTGTCACACGGCGGAGGTGATGTCCCCCGGTGTCGCCGGGGTTGTCACACGGTGGAGGTGATGTCCCCCGGTGTCCCCGCGGTGTCACACGGCGGAGGTGATGTCCCCCGGTGTCCCCGCGGGGCCGGGACCGCGCCGGTCGCTGCCGGGCGCTCCCAGCTCCAGGAGCCGCTCCAGCTCTCCCGGCTCCTCCTGGCGCCGCGGGGACCCCGGGAGCGGGGAGGGACCCTCGGGGGGCGCTGCGGGGAGGGACGGGGTCAGCGCCCTGGAATCCACCCCGGGACAGACGGACTGAGGGGCGGGGGCGGCTCCTGACCCGCCTTGGGAAGTGTAGGGGACCCCCGACCCCATCCAGGTGCTCCCCGATCCCACTCTGGGCTTCCCGACCCCATCCAAGTGCTCCCTAATCCCATTTAAGGGCTTCCCGACCCCTTTGGGTGCTACCCGACCCTATTTGGATGCTCCCCGATCCCATCTGGGGGCTCCCCGACCTCATCCAGGTCATCCCATCCCATCCAATCCCTTCCACCCCAAAATTCTCAGATGTCCCCAAACCCTTGGATGTCCCCCCAAACCCCTCCAGGGCTGGGTGTCCCTAAATGCCCCCAGGGCCGGGTGTTCCCAACCCCCCCCGGGGCCGGCTGTCCCCCAGTCCCCCAGATCTGGGTGTCCCCAAACCTGCAGGTGTCCCCTCAACTCCCCAGGGCTGGGTGTTCCCAAACCCCCCAGATCTGGATGTCCCCACACCCTCGGATGTCCCCCCAATTCCCCAGGGCCGGGCGTCTCCACATCCCCCCAGGGGCTGGGTGTCCCCTCACCCTCAGATGTCCCCAAACCCCCTCAGGGCTGGGTGTCCCCCCACCCTCGGATGTCCCCCCATTCCCCCAGATCTGGGTGTCCCCACACCCCCAGGCCCGCCTGTCCCCCCGCACCCGCGGCCCCGGGGCGCTCACGGGGCTGAGGCGGCTCCAGGCCGGCGCTGTCCGGGCAGACTCCGCTGTCCCCCCGCTGCTTCTCCGCGTCCGCCGCCACCGCCGCGTCCCCCGTGTCCCGCGCCTTGTCCAGCTGCCGCTTCTTCCTGCAGGTGTCCCAGCTGCGGGGACACCGGGGCTCACCGGGGATCCCCAAACCGCCCCGGGCCCCCGGAACCCCTCACTCACCACTTGAAGGCCACGTAGGCCACGAGCCCCACGACGAGGCCGGCCAGGAGGGCGCAGTACAGGGGGATGATGTCCCCGGGGGGCTCGGGGGGGGCCCCCGACACCGGCGGGGTCACTCGGGGGGTCCCCGGCACCGGCGGGGTCCCCTCAGCGAGCGGCGCCGTGGCCTCGTCTGTGGGAGCCCCGGAAAGGGAATGAGGACATGGCGGCCCTGCCTCAGTTTCCCTCTGGAGAGGGGCAGGGGAGGCGAGCGGGGAGAGAGCCCCGGGTCTGGGGACAGCTGAAGGACGGTGAGGGGGAAAAGGGGAAACTGAGGCACAGTGAGGGGAGTGAGGGGGAAACTGAGGCACAGGGAGGGAGAGTGAGGGAAAAAAGGGGAAACTGAGGCACAGTGAGGGGGAAAAGGGGAAACTGAGGCACAGTGAGGGGGAATGAGGGGGAAAAGGGAAACTGAAGCACAAAAAGGGGGAATGAGGAACAAAAGGGGAAACTGAGGCACGAGGGGAAACTGAGGCACAAAAAGGGGGAATGAGGAACAAAAGGGGAAACTGAGGCACGAGGGGAAACTGAGGCACAAGGGAATGAGGTAAAAAAAGAGAAACTGAGGCACAGCATGAGGAAACTAAAGTAGGATGTGGGGAAATTGAGGCCCAAAAGGGGAAACTGAGGCAGGACGAGAGGAAATTAGGGAACAATGGGGAAACTGAGGCACGACATAAGGAAAATGGAGCAGGATGGGAAACTGAGGCACAAAGGGAGGAAATTGTGGACAGTGTGGGGAAACTGAGGCACAATGTGAGGAAAACGAAGCAGGACGGGAAACTGAGACACAATAGGGGACAGTGAGAGAAACAAGGGGAAACTGAGGCACAGTGTGGGGAAATCAAAGAATGACATGAGGAGAGAGGCACCTCGACGGGAAACTGAGGCACAACGAGGGGAAACTGAGGCATGAAAAGGGGAAATTAGGAGCAACACAGGGAAACTGAGGCAAGCTGGGAAACTGAGGCACAGCAAGGGAAAATTGAGGCATAATATGGGGAAATGAAGGAACCACAAGGGGAAACTGAGGCACAAAAAGGGGAAATTAGGGAACCACAAGGGGGCACAAAAAAGGGAAATTAGGGAGCGACAAGGGGAAACTGAGGCGCAAAAGGGAAACTGAGGCGCAAAAAAGTGAAATTAGGGAGCAACGGGGGAAAATGAGGCACAAAAGGGAAACTGAGGCACAAAAAGGGAAACTGGTGCACGAAAAGGAGAAATTAGGGAGCAACAAGGGGAAACTGAGGCATAAAGGGGGAAATTAGGGAGCAACATGGGGAAACTGAGGCACACAAGGGAAACTGAGGCACACAGGGGAAACTGAGGCACACAAGGGGACCCTGGCCCAGCCCCTCGGTGCCCCCCCGGGTCCCGGTGCCACTCACGGCTGCAGGGCGGGCAGGGCGGGCACGGCTCCTCCGGCTCCTCCTCCGCGGGGCTCCGCGCTGCGGGGTTGGAGCATTTTGGGGTTTTTGGGGTCGTTTCTGAGGGTGTTTCTGGGTTCGGGGTGGTTCTGGGTACTCACTGCGGGCGCAGGGTGGGCAGCGGCTGTCGCAGGGCTCGGGGACACCGCGGGGACACGGGGGGCACCCCCCGCCCCGCCCCGGCACCTGCGGGCACAGCGGTCCTGCCTCAGTTTCCCTTCAATCCCCCAGTTCCCACTGGGAGCCCCCCAGCTGTGGGAAAGGGGTTTGGAGGGGGGGGATTGAGGGGCAGTAAAAACAAATTATGAGAAAGGGAGAGAAATAAAAGCGGAGAATCAAAAGGGAAGAGTAAAAAAGGAAATAAATAGTAAATAAAAATGAGATAAAAGGTATTGGAATGGAAAGGAATGAAGAGAAATCAACGAAATAAAAGGAGGAGAAAGGAAGGGAAAAGCTGAACTAAATTAAAGTGGAAGGAAGAAAAAAAAACGTGAAATGAAGGAAAAGAAAGGAAAAGAAAGGAAAAGAAAAGAAAGGAAAAGAAAGGAAAAGAGGATAAGTGAAGTAAAATAGTAAAGTAGGAAAATAAAGAAAGTAAAATAGGATAAGATGAAATAAACCAGGGAAAATTAAACAGAATTAAAAAGGAAAATAAAAAGTAAAAGAGGAAAATAAAGTGAGATTCAATAAAAGGAGAATGAAGTAAAAGAGGAAAATAAAAATAAAAGAAAAAATGAAAAAGGAAGATAAAAATAAAATTAAAAATAAAAGTAAAATTGTAAAAAGGAAAATAAAAAGAAAATAAACGAGGAAAATAAAAGGAAAATAAAGAGAAAAAAATGGAGGAAAATGGAATAAAATGAAGGAAAAGGAACTGAACCGAAATGACCCAAATTTAACCGAACCAAACCCAAAAAACTTCAACAAAAGACACGGAGCGAAGTGACCCGGAGCGCCCCGGGGCAGCGGGAGACCCGGCCCGTCCCATCCCGGTCCCGTTCCCCTCCCGCCCCCGTCCCGCCCGCACCGGGCTCAGCAGCAGCAGCAGCAGCGGCACCGGGAGCGGCCGCATCGCCGGCACCGGCCCGGGACCCGCTCCGGGCCGGGCCGAACCGGGGCCGAGCGGCGCCGAACTGCGCCGAGCCTCTCCGAACCGCTTCGGTCCCGTCCGGCACCGCTCGGCCCCGCTCCGTCCCTGTTCTGTCTCGTTCGGTCCCGTTCGGCTCCGCTGGGTCCCGGTTCGGCTCCGCTTGACTCCGCTGGGTCCCGGTTCGGCTCCGTTCAGCTCCGCTGGGTCCCGGCTTAGCCCCGTTGGGTCCCGGGTCGGCTCCGTTCGGCCCCGCTGCGTTCCGGCTCGGCCTCGCTCGGTCTCGGTTCGGTTCCCTTCGGTCCCGGTTCGGCTCCGTTCGGCCCCGCTCGGCTCCTCTCGGCCGCCCCGTCGCGCCTGGGCCGGGCCGGGCTGGGCGTGGCTCCCCCGGGCAGGGCCGGGCGGGGCGCGCTCCCATTGGCTGCGCGCGGCTTGAGGGGCGTGACCAGACATGGAGCCCCGCCCCTCACAACTCCGGGATCGTGGGTTCGAGTCCCGCCCATCGGAACTTGGGTCCAACTTGGACCGGGCCGGTCCGAACTGGGATAGAGGGCACCGAAGGGACGGCGTCACCCACTCCTCCCGCCACCTCCCCACGGCTCTTCCCCTCGGGAATAAGCGCCTGGAAGCGAGAGAAGCAGATTTATTGAGCCCCGATGTGGGTGCAGCATCCTGGAGTGGGCGCAGGGTGGGAATGGGTGCAGGGTGGGAATGGGTGCAGAGTGTGGGAGTGGGTGCAGAGGGGGAATGGGTGCAGGGTGTGGGAGTGGGTGCAGTGGGAATGGGTGCAGGGTGTGGGAGTGGGTGCAGTGGGAATGGGTGCAGGGTGTGGGAGTGGGTGCAGGGTGTGGGAGTGGGTGCAGGGTGTGGGAGTGGGTGCAGCATCCCATGTGGTTGCAGGACCCTGACGGGGCTGCAGGACCCCAGCGTGGGTGCACAGAGTGACTCGGAGCGGCTGCAGGGTCTCGCTGTGGGTGCAGAGCCTTGGTCCAGGGTGGGTGCAGGGTGCCCGGGTGGGTGCAGGGTCTGGGTGCGGCTGCATCCCCCTCGCAATCTCCTCTCTCTCCTCCCTACCAGCCGCGCACGGGGCGCCAGAGCTCCACCACCTTGCCGGCAGCGTGCACGAAGTACACGGGGTGCATGGCGGCCGTGGCACAGGCCTGTGACAGAGGGGACACCGAGCTGTGACACGGCGCTGGCACGGGGCGGGGACACGCGGGGCTGACACTCACGTGGAACGGGATCAGCGCCAAGGTGCTTCCCAGCGGGAATCGCTCGAAATCCAGCTGCCCATCCACGGCCTCCACCAGCCCGTGCTCCTGGGTCAGCCCCACCAGCCTGCGGGGACGCGAGGCACGGGTGTCACCCCCCCGGCCCCGCCTGTCCCCTCCGCTCCCTCGCACGCCCCGCGGCTGTCACCTGAGCTGGGGGTGGCCCTCGATGGCCGCACAGCCCGGGGGTCCCTGGTCGCGCCCGTGCAGGCTCAGGGCGGCCCAGCCGCAGTCCAGCAGCAGCTGCCCGCGGTGGGGATAGTGCCCGATGACCCTGGTGAGGACACGGATCGCCACCTCCTCGGGCCGGCACGAGCCCAGCTGGGTCTGCTGCAGGTCTGCGGGGGACACGGGCTCAGCCTGGCCGCGTCCCACCCTCCCGGGGTCCCTCCCGGCCAGGGGGGCCCCGTCCCGCTCACCGTAGAAGAGGTAATTGCCCGGGTGCACCTCGGTGAGCTGCGACATCTCCGGCACCGGGTGGCTGCAGGACGGGGTGGAGCCGATGGTGGCCTGGGGACACGGGATCCCCGCCTGCCGCAGCCTGGGGGGGACACGGGGGGCACCCTCTGGGTGATCGGGGTGCGGGATGTCACCCCCGGGTCACCAGAGATGGGTCTGTCACCCCTGGGCACCACCGGGAACAAGAGCAGAGGTGGGTCCTGCACCTCTGGGTGCCCCAAACACTATGGGGAGCCATCCAGATGTGGCAGAGCCTCCCCCCAGCGTGCCAGGGAGAACTCAAGATGTGCTGGGGACACATCCAGATGTGCCCAGGTGCCAGCCAGATGTGCCTGAGAGCCCCCTCAAAGACTCAGGGCTGGTGGGTGTCCCTCCAGATCCCCCTCCAGGTGTGGCAGAGCCCTCTCCAGATGTGCCCAGCCATCCTCAGATGTGCCAGAGATCCACCCGTTTGAGCTGGACATTCCCCCCAGATGTTTTAAAGCACTCCCAGATGTGTCTGAGAACCCCCAGATGTGCTGGAGACCCCTCCAGGTGGTTCTGGGAGCCCCCAGATGTGCCTGGGATCCCCTCAGCTGTGCCAGGCCATTCCCAGATGTGCCAGAAATGCCCCCCAGATGTGTCAGGGCCCCCCCAGTGGTGCCTGGCACCCCTCCCAGATATTTCTGGACCCCCAGATGTGCTTGGAACCAGTCCCAGATGTGCCCGGGACCCCGGCAGATTTTGGGGAGGGGATGGGATCTGGGCTTTCCCCACCACCACCCGGTGCCACCACGGGCCGGTGGCCCCCGGGACGTGTCCCCAGGTGGGCACATCCCTGTCCCTGGCGTGGTGGGGGGTGGAGGTCCCTCCCCCTTTTCCCAGCAGGGCCCATCCGGCCGCAATTCCCCGCAGGATGCGGACCCCCGCCGGGATGAAAGGGTGACAGGCGGGAGGGAGGGGACAATGCCCCAGGTCACAGCCACATCAAAGGCCAGCGACGCCGCCACCACCCCCCGGTGCCCCCCGGGGGGGCTTTGAGGGCCCCTTTATGGGGGTGATTCGCATTTACAGCCCACAGCCGCGCCTTGGCAAGGGGACAGCGGCCGCCTTGACCCTTCCTGTCCCCAAATCCCCAAATCCTGCCCATCCCGGCCACTCACGCGGTGACGAATTCCAGCACGGCGGCCGTGGTGTCCCTGGCGATGGCCTGGATGGCCGGGATGTCGCGACAGCCGTAGGTGTTCCCGCAGTGGGCGTAGACCCCCACCAGTGTCACCAGCTCCGGGGAGCCCTGGGCGATGGCCCGGGCCAGCGCCAGCGCCTCGGGATCCGTGGGACGAATCCCGGCTGGAGAGGGGACACGAGCGTGGCAGGGGGTTTGGGGACATGGGTGAAGGGACACCGGGACATCGCCCCCATGGAGCATCCTGGCGGTGGGAATGCGGGAATGGGGTCTGAAAGTGCCATGGTGGGGCTCTGGGGACATTTCTGCTGCATTTTCCAGGTGTGGCTGGGAAAAAGGACTTTGGAGGGGCTGAGAGGCTCCATCGTGGTTGGGATGGAGGATCTGGGGGCTTGGAGGGTACATGGGGATTCTTTCTCATGGAACATCCTTAAATAACGATTTTGGGGGGGGGGGGGTGAGATTCTCCATCATGATTTTGATGGAGGGTCTGGTGGCTTGGAGGGACATGGGACATGGGGATTCTTCCCTATGGAACACCCTTAAATAACGATTTTGAGGGGTTTTAGATGCTCCATCATGGTTTTGATGGAGGATTTGGGGGCTTGGAGGGACACAAGACATCCTCCCCCGAGGAACACCCTTGATTAATGACTTTTAGGGGGCTTTAATGCCCCATCCTGGTTGAGATGCCGGACCTGGGAGCACTCAGAGCATCCCACCCCACAGGACAGCACACGATGTCCCCTCCCTGCAGCCCGGGATGGGATCTGGGGCTCACCTACCCCGGGCATTGCCGCAGTCCAGCTTGAGCCAGACCAGCCAGCGCTTCCCGCCGGGCAGGGGGTTCTGGAGCAGCATCTCCAGCCCCTGGGGGCTGTCCAGGAGCACCTGGAATTGCTGCAGGCGCTGGGCCAGCGCCGAGCACTCGGCCAGGCGCCAGCGCGGCACAGGGAAGGCGTACAGGATGTCATCGAAGCCCCCGGCCGCGAAGAAATGAGCCTCGGCCAGCGTGGACACCACGATACCACGGCGGGTGCCGCCCGTCGCCAGCTCCGCGCCCTCCCTGGGAATGCGGGAGTGAGGAGGAGGAGGAGGAGGAGGGAGTTGGGGTGGGGGGATACTGGGAGGGAGGGTGGGGGGATATTGGGAGGGAGGAGGGGGGGATACTGGGAATGAAGATGGAGGAATACTGGGAGGGAGGATAAGGGGATACTGGGAGTGAGGATAAGGAGATACTGGGAGTGAGAATGGGGGGATACTGGGAGGGAGGATGGGGGGATACTGGGGATGGGGGGGGGTACTGGGAGGATAGTGAGATACTGGGAGATAGGGTGGGGGGATACTGGGAGGGAGGATGGGGAAATGCCTGGGGGGAAGGTGGGGCTGAGGAGGGGGTGCCGGGAGGGATTCTGGGGAGGTGCCTGAGGGAAGCTGAGGGGTGCTAAGGGGGGATACTGGGAGGGATCTGTAGGAATAATGGAGGGATACTGGGGAGGGGGAAGGTGAGGAGTGCTGAGGGGGGATATGGGGAATGCTGGAGGAATTCTCTGGGGGAATGTGGGGAGGATTCTGGAGGGATGATGGGGAGAGGCTGGCGGTGAAGCTGAGGAAAACTGGGGCAGGACTGGGAGATGCTGGGTGGGAAGGTGGGGTGTCCTGAGGGGAAGATGGAGAGACAGTGGGAGGGATACTGGGAGGATGCTGGACAAACTGGGGGACACTGGGGTGGGATGCTGATGGGGAGGATGGGGAGATGCTGGAGAAGGATTTTAGGGTGAGGATGGGGAGATGCTGGGGGAAAACTGTGTGAAGGCTGAGGGGTACTGAGGGGACCCAGAGGGATGGGGGGGATTCAGGGGAGGCCCCGGGTGGCTCCTGGTGGCTCTGGGGTGGCACTCACAGGGTTTTGTGTGTTTTGACGTGGGGCCGCAGGCGCAGCCCCAGCGCCCGGCAGCGCTCCCGCATCCTCTCGGCGTTCCCGCGCAGCGTGGCCAGGTCCAGGGTCAGCGCCGGGGTGGGCAACTGCTCCAGGGGGGCTCCCAGCCACGAGCTGGGAATGTGGGGAGGGCTGGCAGAACCTGCTGTGAACCCCTGCCAACCTAAACCCACCCTGCACCCTCAGAACCTGCTGTGAACCCCTGCCAACCTAAACCCACCCTGCACCCTCAGAACCTGCTATGAACCCCCCCAACCTAAACCCACCCTGCACCCTCAGAACCTGCTGTGAACCCACCCTGGACCCTCAGAACCTGCTGTGAACCCCTCCCCAGCCTAAACCCACCCTGCACCCTCAGAACCTGCTGTGAACCCACCCTGCACCCTCAGAACCTGCTGTGAACCCCCCCAACCTAAACCCACCCTGCACCCTCAGAACCTGCTGTGAACCCTCCCCAACCTAAACCCACCCTGCACCCTCAGAACCTGCTGTGAACCACCCTGCACCCTCAGAAACCCCCGGTGCCCACCTTACACCACCCTGCAGCCCCAGAGGAGGGTGCTGGGGGTCCCTGTCCCCAGGTGGGGGCAGTGGGATCCCCCAGGGATGTGGCCCTGGAGGGATTTTGGGTGGGGGTGGTGCTGGGGCAGCTCCAGGGTGTCCCTTCCACCTTAGGGTTTCCTGGAATCAGGTGGATGCTGGGACTGGGGTATGGGAGAGTGGGGAACTGAGGACTGGGACACCTGGGACACCTGGGACAAGGACACCTGGGTCACCTTGGAGAGGGATACTGGAAGCAGGGATACCTGGGACTGGGATCTATGGAACAGGGACACTTTGGACTGTGACACCTGGGATTGGGACACTTGGGACTGGGACACCTGGAAATGGGTGGTCTGGGATGGGGACACGGGGCAGAGGGACACCTGGGGCTGAGACACCTGGGAAAAGGAGCACTTTGGGGGCGCTCCTTGGGACAGGATGCCCGGAGGGAGCTGTGTCACCCTGGGATGGAGCCATCTGAGCCAAAATCGGGGAACAGGGACACCAGTCCACCCTCCATCAGCGTGTCACGGGAACGCCCTCCAGCAGCGTGTCCCCTCCGCCGCGGTGTCACCTGCCCCCGCGCGTGTCCCCTCCCGGCCCTGCCCACCTGTCCGTGCGTCCGTCCATGGCTCCGTCCGGCTGTCCCGGCCGTCCCGGCGGTGGCTGCGGTGGCGCCGCGGGTGCCCTCGGCCCCACGTGACGCCGTGGCACGGCCGCCAGAGCGGGGACAAGGGTCACTGCCAGCCGAGGGGCCTCGCCGGGGTGGCAGGGCCAGCGCAGGACACGCTCGGCAGCCGCGGCCAGGACAGGAGCGGCTGCCAGGGCCGGGCACGGCCGGAGCCGGGAGGGACGCGCAGGGAGCCAAAGCCAGAGTGGGACCGGCCGAGATCCCCCGGGCTCGGACACAGGACAGGGGGGCTGGGGCCACTCGTGCTCCTGACACGGGTGAGGGGCTGCTGGGGACCCACTGCCCCTGCCTGGGACACGGGGGACACAGCTGATGCTGCTGAGACCCCCCTAAACTCGTGACACGTGTGGGGAGTTGCTGAGACCCCCCCTAAACTCATGACACATATGGGGACCTGCTGAGACCCCCTAAACTCGTGACACATATGGGGACCTGCTGAGACCCGCTAAACTCATGACACACATGTGGGGACCTGCTGAGACCCCCCTAAACTTGTGACATGGGGGTGCACAGCTGCTGAGACCCCCCCCAGTTTGTCACACTTATGTACAGCTGCTCCTGGGGACCCCCACACTCATGACAGGTGTCTGTACAGCCACTGAGACCCCCCAAACTTGTCACACGTGTGTGTGGAGCTACTGAGACCCCCTAAACTTGTGGCAGGTGGGTACAGAGCTGCTGAAACCTGTCCCAACTCGTGACATGGAGGTTCACAGGGGCTGAGACCCCCCCCACTTGTCACTCATGGCTACAGACCTGTGACATGGACTCCACGGTTGCTGAGAGCCCCCCACACTCGTGACACGTGTGTGTGCAGCTGCTGAGCCCCCCTGCCCATAACAGGTGGGCACAGAGCTGCTGAGTCCTGCCCCACTGGTGGCACGAGTGTCCCCACGTCCCACAGCCTGTGCAGGACACCAGAGTGGGGGGACACTGGGGGACACACACAGGAGGGGGCGTGTCCCCATCTTGGGGCAGCCACGGGCCTCACACCTTGATTTCCCACAGATATATTATTATTATTAATTATTATTATTATTAATAACAATTCTTTTTCTGTAAAACCTCTAAAAATGGATAGAAATAAAAAATAAGGGGGGGGGGGGACCCACACGCTGCCGGCTCCTGGCCAGCGGGCACGGCGGGGGGGCTGTGCCACCCCCCTTCCCAGCGAGGGGTCCCCACCTCCTGCTGTCCCCACCCCGCTGTGACAACGGGGGAGGCGTCTCCCCAAAGTCCAGGGGGGCTGCACACCCCAGCGGGGCTGGATAAGGCCACGGATGGCGGGCAGGACGGGGCTCTCCGGGCCCCCCTCGGTGCCCGGGGGTCCCCCAGTCCGTGTGGGGGGCACGGGGCCCCCGGGGCTGGGTGGGTGGTGGTGGGTGCCAGCCTAGGCCCTGCCCTCGGCGGGGTTGTATTCCGTCTCTCCGGCCGACACCTGGGAGATTCGCCGCGTGGAGCGCCACAGCCGCCGGTGGAACTGGCCCGGCCGCACCTGGGGACAGGGTGAGCGCCTTTCCCATCCCCAAATCCTTTATCCATCCCTTCCACGTTCCCATGCCATCCCAAGGTCTTCATCGCCTTCTCCATCCCATCCCATCCCATCCCATCCCATCCCATCCCATCCCATCCCATCCCAATCTCATCCCATTCCAAGATCCTCATCCCCTTCTCCATCCCCATCCCATCCCCTTGTCCATCCTCATCCTCATCCTCTTCATCCCCATCCCATCCCAATATTCTCATCCCCTTCTCCATTCCCATCCCATTCCAATGTCCTCATCCCCTTCTCCATCCCATCCCATCCCATCCCATCCCATCCCATCCCATCCCATCCCATCCCATCCCATCCCAATGTCCTCATCCCCTTTTCCATCCCATCCCATCCCATCCCATCCCATACCATCCCAGATTCTCATCCCCTTCTCCATTCCCATCCCATGATTTTCATCCCCTTCTCATTCCAATATCCTCATCCCCTTCTCCAGCCTCCTCCTCATCCCCTTCTTCATCCCCATTCCATCCCAAGATCCTCACCCTCTTCTCCATCCCCATTCCATTCCAAGGTCCTCATCCCCTTCTCCACCCCTTACTCCTCTCCGTTTCTCATCCCATTCTTCCTCCTCATTCCTTCCCAGATACTCATCTCCTTCTCCATCCCATCCTCTTCTCCTTCCCCATTTCCATCCTCATCTTCCTCCCGATCCTCATCCTTTTTTCCATCCCCATTCCCTTCTAGATCCTCATCCTCTTCTCCATCCCAATCTCTTTCCCAAAACCCTTTATCCAACCCCATCTTCATCCCCTTCTCTATCACTGTCTCCTTCCAGACCTTCATCCTCTTCTACATCCTCATCCCCATCCTCATCCCACATTCCCTTCCCCACCCCACCCTGGTCCCCCTCAGCTCTGCAGAGGACACACCAATGTCCCCACCCTGGGAACACCCAGGGGACACTGAGCCATGTCCTTGTCCCACCCAGCCCTGGCTGGGGGTCCCGCTCACCTCCGCGGGCTGCCCAGCGCCCACCACGATGAGTTTTCCATCCTCCAGCCCCACCAGGATGTGGCTCTTCTCCTTGGTGACGGACACGCTGTGCACGGGCACCCGCATGGGCACAGGGGGCACGGCCGCCCTCAGGCTGGGGACACAAACCATGGCGTGGGACACGAGGCATGGTGTGGGACACCATGGCATGGGACACCACGGCATGGGACACCGTGGCATGGGACACCGTGGCATGGGACACTGTGGCATGGGACACAAACCATGGCACAGGACACCACTGCATGGGACACCACAGAATGGGACACAAACCATGGCACAGGACACCATGGCATGGACATCATGGCATGGGACACCATGGCATGGGACACAAACCATGGCATGGGACACCACTGCATGGGACACCACAGAATGGGACACAAACCATGGCATAGGACACCACGACATGGGACACCACGGCATGGGACACCCTGAGGGCGTGCTGGGGACAGGACAGGGCACAGCCATGCCTCACCTTTGGAGCTCACGGATCTCCAGCCCACACTCCGAGGTCCCCAGCACCACGAAGTCCTCGGTCAGGCACATGGCTGTCACCTCCCGGTCCAGCGGGACGGAGGACAGGAGCTTCCCGTTCACCGAGTACAGGTGCAGCGCGAACCTCTCCTGCAAGGAGCACAGGGGGACCATGGGGCGGTGCCGGTGGCCGGGAGGGGACCATGGGGACACCTGGACGTACCTTGGAGCAGGAGGGCTGCCCCACGGAGGTTTGGGCCACCACCTGTCCCTCGGGCCCCACGGCCAGGTGGGACAGGACAGCAGGGGGGCAGCTCTCGCCGGGCGGCCGCAGGGAGCGGATGAAGAGACCCCGGCGCACGGTGTGGGTGATGATGGTGCCGTCCTGGGGGAGGAAGGGGACACGGGGTGATGGTGGTGGTGGCACTGCCCATCCCACGCCCACCCCACGGTGCCACCAGCTCACCTTGGAGCCGGACACGGCCATGTCCAGCTCGGTGCTGATGGCCACACACGTCACCTCGGCGTCATGGCCGTACAGCACCTGGACGGGTTTGGGAGCCAAGCCGCTGGAAAAGCCACCCTGGTGGTGGGGACATGGGGACATCAGTGACCTGCTGGCAGTGCCCACCACAAGCTTCCCCACTCCTCAAGCCCTTACCTGCTGTAGGACCTGCCACACCATGCAGGTGGTGTCCCGTGAGCCAGAAATGAGGTAGATGCCACACAGGTCGAGTGACAGGCAGGTGACAACATCTGTGACAGCCAGAGGGACACCATGAGGTGTCGGTCCCCTCCCACCACACTCGGCCCCTTGACTCCCAGGGATGGCGCCATAATGTGTTTTTGGACGTGGAATTGCTGCCAATCCCATTCCAAGATGTATTTTGGGGTGTGGATGCTGCTGCTCCTCACCCCACTGCAGATCTGAGGTTGGAACTGGGTGCCAGCCAGTCCCAGGAGATGGAGACACTGGGAGATGCCCCTCATGGTGTCACCTGCCTCCCTACAAACTCATCAGGGCATCATCAGATCATCATCACCATCATCATCACCACGGGAGGAGAACATACCTATGTGCCGGGTGATGTGCCCCACGACCTTGCCTTTGGCCAGCGAGGTGACACGGAGGCTGTTGTCCCAATGTCCCCCGCTGAAGAGCAGCTTCCCATCGGGGGACACGGCCAGCGTGCGCGAGCTCAGGTCGGCCCCGGGGGCAAAGGGGCCCTGCAGGAAGCGCTGGGTCCTGTGGGGAGGATGTGGGAAGGTGGTGGTGGATTGGTGGCACCTCCAGGGACCATCCCTGGGGACCCTGTGCCCCAGTGACTCACTTGGCGTTGGTGACAGTGGGGTCTTTGGTGAAGCTGAAGTAGTTGGAGATGTTCTTGTCGTAGGGCAGCCAGTTATGGGTCCCCAACAAGCCGTTGGCACTCACGGTGACCTGGGCAGAGGGGCAGGGGAGGTGACACCGCCCTCACTGCTGGGATCCTCCCTGGTTTGGTGCTGGGCCCCCCTGGACCAGCAAAACATCCCTGTGCCTCAGTTTCCCCACACTCACCAGGATGTCAGGGGATCCCTGAGTGATGAAGGAATGTGCCTGGTTCTTGGGGACCACGGCCTGCACCAGGGCCACCCCATCGCTGATGCCCTGTGGGGACACAGCAGCTGCTGGGCACCCTCCTGGCCACCCCACCCCTCCCAGGGACCCCGGGGGTGTCCTCACCTCCACAAAGAAGGACTTGAGCTGGCCCAGGTTCTCGAAGACGTTGGGGGAGCGGGTGTCGAGGGTGGCCAGCCTGCGGGCGGCGCTCTCTGCTGACAGCCGGGCAGGGTGTGGCTCCTGGGGGGACAGGGCACCCGTCAGAAGTGGGGGAACCTCCAAAAGCGGCTGGTTTTGGGGGCTGGGGGTCTGAGCTACCTTGAGCAGCTGGCAGGGCGTCTGCCCAAAGTTGCTGATGATGCCCTCCAGAGCCTTGCGCTGCGTCTCGTCGGTGATGGCATCCAGGTCCACGGCCCCTGAGGGTGGGGACAGTCACAGCCCTGGAGGGACAGACCCCTGGAAGGTGTCCCCCTCCCTCTGCCCCTCAGCTCACCCTCGTAGGTGCAGTAGTAGAAGACGTTGAGAGCCTCCACGGCGGCCGGGCCGCGCTGCTTGTACCCAAAAATGAGGTCGATCCACTCATGGAGGTGGGCGGAGACATATTCCGACTCCTGTCCGAGGATGGGGCGTCAGGGTGGGGTGGGAATGGCCCTGGAACACCCCCAGGGCTGAAGGGGCTCCCCATCTCACCAGGGCTTTGCGGTGCTGCTGGATGAAGTCCTCGCGGGAGCGCGCCCACCGTGGCAGCACCACATCCCCAACCTTCTCATTGGAGAGCTGGAGGCAGCCCAGGTCAAAGCCTGCGGGCAGGACGAGGAAAGTGAGGGACACAGACCCCGCTGTGCTCCCCTGGTGGTGACAATGGTGTCCCTTACCGTTCTGGTTCTCCAGGAACTCCGGGAAGTAGAAGAACTCTGGGATGAGCTCCTTGACATCCACCGGGTTCTCCATGCGGGCTTGCCACGCCGCCGGCACCGAGTGGAACTGCCGGTCCGAGCAGTCAAACCTGGAGGCACAGCACACCTGGCTGCAGCCTGGCTGTCCCCACGATGTCCCCTCTGCAGGACCCACCTGCCGGGCGCCCACCTGCCACTCTGCAGCTGGATGTGGAGCGTGGTGAAGGGCTCGGTGCGGATCAGGTAGTGCATGACCCCGGCGGCGTTGGAGTAGTGAGTGCCGTAGTGGAACTTGTCCACCGTGCCCGTGGGGTCCTCGAAGCTCTCGTACCTGCAGGCCAGGTGGGATGGGGTCCACCAGGAGCTGGCCAGGTGCTCCCTGCATCCCCCGCCCTTGGTTTGTGGGGTACTCACTTCTCCTTGACGTCGCGGGCGTGCCGCTCGTTGGCCACCCCAATGGGCTTGGACAGGTCCCGGAACACGGCCGGGTTGGTGAGGTCCAGGGTCTCCGAGACATAATCCCGCAGGATCCAGGGGAACTGGGTGGGGGCGGGAGGTGGGTGAGCTGCGGGGGCACTGGGTCAGTGTGGGGACAGTGGGGGACACGGGGGCTCACCACGGGGTACTGGGACAGGTCGTTGTAGGTGCGGCCCGCGATGGTGTTCAGCTGCATGAGGTACTCGAAGTTGGAGATCTCCCGCAGGACCCATTTCTGGAGAGAAGGGAGAGGGAGGAGATGGGCTTGGGGGGAGAGGAGACAGGGCAGACACCCCCCACCGCATGGCAGTGCCTGTCCCTTGGCCATCCCTGGTTTCAAAGTTGTCCCCAGTCTTATGGCCATCACTGGTCCTGCAGCTGTCCCCAGAACTGTGGCCATGTCCACCCCATGGCCATCCCTGGTTCTACAGTCACCTCTGGTCCAATGGCCACCCCCATCCCACAGCCATCCCCTGTTCCATGGCCATCCCTGCTCTCAGACCATCCCATATCCCACAGTTGTCCTTTGTCCCATGATTGTCCTCACCCCATTGCCAACCCAGGTCCCATGGCCACTCCCAACAGCCATCCTTCATCCTCTGTCCAAATCCATGTCCACGTCCATGGCCATCCCTGGTCCCATGGCCACTCCCGCATCCACAGCCATCCCTGATTCCCTGTCCATGTCCATGCCCATCCCTGGTCCCATGGCCACTCCCGCATCCACAGCCATCCCTGATTCCCTGTCCATGTCTGATTCCCTGTCCATGTCCATGTCCATCCCTGGTCCCATGGGCACCCCACGCTGTCACCCTCCCTTTTCCACCTGGGAAGGGGACACACAGAACATGGATGGGCAGGGTGGAGCTGGTACCTGTGTGAGCCCCGAGGCTTTGAGCAGCTCCTGGGGGGACCGGCTGCCGAAGTAGGTCTGGTTAGGGGGCCGCAGACCAAGGATGCTGGAATACACCTTGTTCCTCACCTGGAGGGGGCAGAAGGAGCTGCCGGAGCTCGGGCAGAGCTGAGGCCCTGGGAGGGAGCTGGGAGGGGATGAGGGGTCCCCACCTTCTTTCTGAAGTTGAGGAAGTAGTTGGCCTGGTCGATGAAGAAGAGCTCGAGGGCGGAGCGGCGCAGGTTGTAGCGGCGCAGGTGGACCTCGCGCAGGTGGGACAAGGGGCGCTTGAAGTCGTAGCCGATCCCTGCCGAGGGTGGGGGCATGCAGAGCCCCCCAGGGATCACCATCCCGCCATTCCAGAGGCAGGGATGGGGTGGGGCAGGGGTTCCTCACATCCCCCAAGGAGCTCCCGCTGTTACCTCCCTCCGTCTCCTCCTTCTCGCTGCTGCCGTCGTAGAAATACACGTGCTGGGTTGTGACCTCCAGGCGCCCAGGGACCACGGCCACCGTCGTGATGAGCTCGCAGTCCTCCGACACCACCAGCTTCTCCCGCTGGTTCTGCTCCTTGGGCTCAGCCCTGTGCGGCACAGTGGGGTGAGGACACTCTGGTGACAACCCCAGCCCGGGTCAGCCCGTGCTCTGGCAGGGGTGGGGTCACTCACTGGTTGTCCAGGACAGGGAGGTCCTCCTCGGCCAGCTGGTCATCCTCCAGCTCGCTCACCTTGGCCTCCTTGGCCATGGCGAGCGGGAGGGACTCGGCGGGGTTCTGGAGATGGTCAGCTCCTGAAATGAGGAGGGGGTCAGCAGGACCCATCACCCCCCTGAGCTAGGGGCAGCTCCTGTGAAGGGCCCCCAAATTCAGCGCTGTCCATGTCATCTCCCAGCCCAACCCCACCGGTGACATCCCTTGCCCGTGGCACAGGAGGACCCACAGGTGCCCCAGTGCCACCACCTCACCCAGATTGTCCCGTAGGGCGCTGGCCTCCAAGTGCTGGTCAAAATTGAGATTGGGCACCAGCTTCAGCCTCATCCTGGAGTAGGTCTCGGCACTTGACAGCTTCCAGCGAACCTCCGGTGGGTTCCTGGGGGACAGCTGGGGGTGAGGCACCCTGGGGACCCCCGGCTGTGCCACCCCTCCCTGGGGACGGGGCGGGGACTCACCGGTCGGCCCAGGCGGAGCGGGGCGAGGTGAGCAGGCGGCACAGGGAGCGCCACTGCTTGAGCACGGTGCTGTGCTGGTTGTTGGCCTGCTTGAGGACGTTGGCGTGCCGCGCGTTCTCCGCCTTGCAGCGCTTCGCCGCCGGCTCCAGCACCAGCTCCTGCCGGGGGGGCACCAGAGTGAGGTGACAACAGGGCTGGGGATTGGGGACATCCATAGGTGATGTCCTCAGGGTAAGGAGAACATCGCCAGATGATGTGGTTGGGATGAGGAGTGTATCCCTGGGCTGATATCCCCAGGATGAGCAGCACATCCCAGGGATAATGTGTCTGGATCGAGGAGCACATCCCTAGGACAGTGTCCCCAGGAGGAGGAGCCCTTCCTGAAGGCAATGTCCCCATGGGGTGAAGAGCACAACCCCAGGATTAATACCACAGGTAGAGGAGCACATTGCTAGAATGACATCCCCGGGGTGAGGAGCACATTCCCTGCATGACATCCTTGGGGTGAGGAGCCTGTCCCCAGGATAAGGAGCACATTCCCTGCATGACATCCTTGGGGTGAGGAGAATGTCCCCAGGCTGAGGAGAACCCAGAAAGACATCCTAGAAGTGAGGAGCATGTACCCAGGCTGAAGAGCACATCCCCTGGATGACATCCCTGGGGTGAGAAGCATGTCCCCAGGCTGAGGAGCACATCCCTGGATTGTCACCCTGGGAGTGAGGAACAGCTCCCCAGGCTGAGGAGCACCCAGAGTGACACCCCAGGGGTGGGTAGTGTCCCCAGGACAAAGAGCACCCCCCAGGGTGACATCCTGGGGACAAGGAGGCGGCAGTACCTGGAACAACTTGCGGCTGGCTGCCTTCTCCTGCTCCCGGCGCTGCGAGCTGCTCATCATGGCATCGTAACAGGCGTTCCAGAAATTGGACATCAGGTCGTGGCTCCTGGCGAACGTGTCCATCTCAAACTGGGCCATGGTGGGCTGCACCTGCACGAGCAGAGAGGCATTCCCAGGGCTCGGCACCCAGCACCCCTCATCCAGGCAACCCCACAACAACCATCCCGCCCCATGGCACCCACGTGCTTCTCGATGAAGCCCCTCCACTCCGGGGTGGTGCAGAAGAGCTGGAAATCCTCGTAGAAGGTGGGGCTGCCGTTGGTGGGCGGCAGCGAGGGCAGGAACTGCTGCAGCTGCAGGGTCTCGTAGCACTGATCCATCAGCGTGCGGATGATGGGCACCAGCCAGGAGAAGGTCTCCGACCTGGAGTCCAGGGAGCGCCGCAGGGGCGTCTCCAGCTTCCCCAGCAGGTAACAGGCCTCGTCCCTGCGCGGCGCCGACGTGGTCTGCAGGAGGCTGTGCAGCTTCACGTAGGCCAGGGAGTGCAGCTGGGGGGACAGGGGACGTCAGGCGGGGCCACCTTTTGCTTCTTTTCACTATAAGCAAATTTCTTAAAAGAAGGGAGGTCTTAAAGAGCTGAAGCTGTAATTAGAGGTAAATTGCTGTCCTAGGGGAAGATTTGTTCCACTTCCTCATTCATTTTCATTAACATGTAAGAGTTAGCAAAGAGTGTTTTAAGTACACTACATGTTATGCCAGTTTATATTAATTTGTTTTGTGCCTCTCAAGTAACATGATGAGGGCTAACCCAATTTATTACAACAAACTATGCAGGTAATTGGAACCATGTTTAGATCAAATCTATCACCACATTAAACCTCCATTTAAAATGAGTAGCCAATGGACTTCAGAGTGTGCTCAAATGTACCAGAGAGCGGTGCCCAGGGAGGGGTGACCCACCTGGGGGTCCTGCAGCAGGATGTACCCCACGAGCACCCGCAGCCCCGTCTGCGCCATCTCCTTCAGGTCCGAGGTGCCGTTGGCCAGGTGGTGCCACACGCCCAGCTTGTCCAGCAGGCTGCTGACCCCCTCGTAGATCTGGGGGGACACCGTGAGCCCCTGCCCGGGCAGGAACCCAGCCCTGCCGAGCCACCGGCCCCGTCACCCAGCCCTCCTCGGATTCGGGTTTGGGTTTAGGGTTAGGGTAGAACACAACTCGTGACAAACCGGCTTTGGCGTGAGGTTGGGGCTCAGGATTTATGTTCAGGGGTCAGGTTTAGGGGTAGAGGATTGGAGTTAGGATTCAGCTTTAGGACAAAGGTATAGCAGTGAAGTTTAGGAAGTACAGTGAGATTACAGGCTGGGAGTTAAGGTTAGGGTTTAGGTTTACAGAAAGAGTTAGGGTTAAGATTAGGATTAAGGGTTGGGTTTTATGACGAAGATGTGGAGTTAAGGTTTAGGATCATGATCTAGGAGGAACAGTTAAATTGAGAATTATGGCTTAGGATTAAGGTTTAATGATTAGGATTGGGGTTCAATTTATGATTACAAATAAGGCAGAGGTTATTTCCTAAAATTAGGATTAGGCTTTGATTTAAATCTAGGATTGAGGCCGAGGTTATTTCCTAAGGTTAGGATTAGGCTTTGATTTCAATTTAGGAATAAGTCTGAGGTTATGTTCAAGTTCTGCAGGTGGGGCTGGTTTTAGGGCCAGGGTTGACATTAGGGATTAGCAGAGGAATCCCTGCTCACTCCCATCCACCTTCTCACTCCACAGGGCCTGGTTGTTGTGTCCCTCGGAGAAGAGGAAATCCTGGAGCAGCCGCAGCAGCTTCAGGGCGTTGTGGGTGAGCCCGGGCAGCGCGGCCGGGCCCGACTCCTTCAGGTCGGTCAGCGCCGACTCCAGCATCATCTCCAGCAGGCTGTGGGACAGCAGCAGCAGCAGCTCCAGAGGGTGCCCTTCCCTCAGGATCCACCCCGGCACACGGGAGGGCCTCACCTGCGCTTGATCTCGTCTGGGGGCCGCACCAGCTCGCAGGCTGTGCCCAGCTTGGTGAGCACGGAGAAGACCTGGCCCCGCTCCCTCCAGGCCGCCTCGTCCCAGCCCTCCACCCCGCGCCACGTCACCGAGAAGATGATGTTGGTCAGGAGGTTGCACAGCTCCTCCTCGGGGGTTTGCTGCCAGCGGAGAGCAAGGTGAGAGGTGCCCACAGTGCCCCGGGATGGTGGGGACGAGGGTTTGGGGCTCACCTGGGGGTTGCTGGTGTTGGAGACGTTGTCGCTGGGCAGCACATCCTGGTAGCTGCTCTCGTCCAGGACGTTGGACAGGCTGGAGCTCTTGCGCGCTCGCATTCCCGGGAAGGGCTTGAAGCTCTCCAGGGGTGAGGGGGTGCCGGGGCCGCTGGCCGGGGTCTGGGTGCCGCTCTCGGCCGTGGCCATGGAGCTGGTGCTGGCCAGGTCCAGCCCCAGGTCGAAGGGCGAGGTGGAGAAGGGGGACAGCGGGTGGTAGACGCCATCGAAGGTGGGACCGTCCCCAGGGTTGGAGGACGAGCGGCTGGCCCGGTCCGAGGAGTCGAAGGACTTGAAGTTGTAGGAGTGGAAGGACTTGGTGCGGCCACTCGGGGAGATGGAGAGGTCGGAGAAGCCCTCGGAGAGCTCCTGGTCCGAGGCCTCGTATCCCAGCGGGAGGAAGACATCGAGCTCCTGGAGCTCGGTGGGCGGCGGGCTCGTCCCAGAGGGCTCGGAGAGGCGCAGCAGCTCCGGGCAGCCCGCGGGGCTCAGGCTGTGCTGGCGGCACTCGTAGGACTCCTTCACGTAGAGCTTGGTGAGCGTGTCCTGCCAGCCAGCCAGCCTGGCCAGCTGCTTCACCAGGTCCTGCTGCGCATAGATCAGGTGGAAGAGCTGCAGGAGAAGGAAAAGGAGATGGAAAATGAAGGACACTGGATGCTGCTGCCCCAGCTCTTCCTCTCCCAGGAACAGGAGCACCCCAGATCCTCCATAACCATCACGGGGTGCTGGAGCTGCACCATTTCCATGCTGGCTGATCCGTGTCACCACCATCCCCATGGCAACCATTTTTGGGCACAGCTGGGTGTCCAAGGAGCTCAGCCCCGGGGTGACACCTCTGTCCCCTCTCCCAGGAACAGGAGCACCCCAGATCCTCCATAACCATCACGGGGTGCTGGAGCTGCACCATTTCCATGCTGGCTGATCCATGTCACCACCATCCCCAAGGTCACCGTTTTTGGGCACAGCTTGGTGTCCAAGGAGCTCAGCCCCGGGGTGACACCTGTGTCACCTCCCTCTGTGTCCTGGCCCCGCTCACCTTGCGGCAGATGTCGAGTCGGATGCTCAGCTCAGCCCGGTGGGACAGGTACACCACGGCCACCAGGTCCTTGTAGTTGGGAGGGTCTGTGGACAAGGAGAGTCAGCACAGTGGTGGGACACTTCCTGCTGTCCCCAGAAGCCACCAAAGACCCAGCCCAGCTGAGCCTCGTGGGAAGCCACCAGCGATGATGCCATGGCACGTGGATGGGATGGTGGCCTGGTTTCTCTGGCACACGGTACCTGCCCCCAGGACCTGCTCCGAGAGGCAGCGGAAGAGCAGCATGGAGCCGGGAATGTCGCTGAGGTAGGAGATGAGCCCGTGGTAGCCGATGTCCTTCAGCTTCAGGCGGCTCTTGATGCGCTCGGGGACCTTCTCGTACTTCAGCATCTTGTAGAGGACCTGGTGGGACAGCGACAGGAGGCAGCCTGGCTGTGACATCCCTGCTGGGGGCAGCAGGAGGTGGGCGTTGGGGACCTGCCCTACCTTGAAGACCCTTTCCCTCACTTCATCCGAGAACCTCTTCTGCACCAGCAGGGAGAAGAGCAGCTCCACGTGGCCCGGCTCGAAGAGGAAGGCGAAGAGCTGCTCCTGGGCTGGGGAGCCCTTCAGCAGGCTGTGGATCACCTCCAGCGCCCCACACACCTGCAGGACACCTAGATGGTTGTCCACTGCCCTCTGAGCGTCCCACTGGGATCTCAATGGCTTCTCCCCAGCCCATGATTCGCTGAGGGGTTTGGGGACCACAGCGTGGCCGGTGACACACCTGCTGCTCATCCTGTGCCCCTGCCAGGTAGTTCAGCAGGCTCTGCATCTCCTCCCCGGAGAAGCTCCTGCAGAAGAAATCCTTCACCAGGCTGAAAAGGGATGTCTGCACCGTCCTGATGTCATCGGTGGCCGTGGTCTTCTCCCTGGAGGTGTTGATCAACAGACACGTGTGGGTATGTGTCCCTTGTCACCCACCACCCACTGCCAGCATCATCCCAAATCCAAACACAAAGCCCGAGGAGCTCCAGGGATCTCCTACCCCTGGGAACATGTCCACCCCACACATTTGGGTCTGCTTGTTGCAGGAGCCCCACACTCTTGGTGGCTGCTGGGGGTGGATTTTGGAGCTGGGCACAGGCTCAGGGATAGCACATGGAAGGTCCTGCACCCACCACAACGCTCCCACTCTGGTAGGAAGGATATTACCCCCCAAAAATGGTGTTTAGCCAAACCACAGCTCCCAGGGGTGAAGCCCACCCTGCCAGCATTCCAGGATTCCAGCCCTGTGGGGCAGCTGACCCGTAGTAGGTCCGGATGGAGTCCAGGATGAACTGCACCCCGTACTTCTTGCGGATGCGCTGCTTGTGGTCCTTGACCACGCTGGCCAGGTACTGGATGTGACCTGCAGGGGGAAGGTGTCAGGATCCCATGGAGCCAGCGTGGGATGGACATTCCCAGGCAGTTCCTGCTCCCACCTAAGCGCACGGCGAAGTCGCTGTTGCTCCAGATGCGGAAATCAAAGAGCAGGTGTTGGTAGAGGAGGTGCAGCAGGAACCCGCTGCCCTCAGAAGCCACCTGCTCCATGAGGATCTGCGAGGCCACCAAGGTGCTCATGTCCAGCAGCGTGCCAGGGACCTGTCACGGGTGACAGGGGACATCTTCCAGCCCCTTGGGAACAGCAAGGATGGTGGGATGGGGTTTTGGGAGCCTCCCAGACCTTGTGCAGCAGCGCTCCGATGATGGCCGGCCCGTGGCACTGCACCAGGCTCTCCTGGTTCACGGCGTGGTTCTGCAGGAAGTTCTTCACCAGCAGCAGGAAGGCGGCCACGCTGTTCCTCTCCAGCCTGCTCTCTGCAGGGCACCAGCACCTGTGAGCCCCAGGCCCACCCAAACCCCTGCCTGGAGATCCCACGCTGCTGTCTCTCCAAACTTTTCACCCTGTTCTCTCCTGCTTTCCCCAGATTTAAGGACATGGAAGTCTTTGCCACTTTCAGCTTGGGAATGAGCAGCTGGATGTCGGGAGAAAGCACATTCCACCCACGCCAAAGGTTCCTGGAGCCATCCTCACCTTCCCAGAACTGTTTGTTTGTGACTAACTGGGTCATAACAACATCCCAAGGGGTTCCTCCATTACCCTGTAACTCCTGGAGCCTCAGGCAAGACCTCTCCTGCCCGTGGTGGACACCGGCCAGGCCCAGGAACCCCTCCGTGGTCACCTCCAGCCACCCAAGCAGGACAGCTCCTGCTTCACATCCCCTGAACTCCTCACCTGAGGACTTTCCCAGCGGGATGAGCATGCCCTGGGCGTTCCTGGAGGACGTCAGCTCCGGCCCCACCAGGTCGTTGGTCTCCTGCTCATCCTCGGGCTCCTCCGTCTTGGACACCACTTGCTCGAGCAGGGGCAGGAGCACCCCCATCCCACCCACGCAGTTGACCACATCCTGGGGGAGGGAGGGAGAGGCTTTGCTGGGTGGTGACAGCAGCATGGAGGAGGAGGAGGTCCATGGCACCTGGGGTCCCCAAAAGTCACCTGTTCCCCTGCACCACCCACAGTGCCCATCCTGGATAATGAGGACCCATGGGACAGATGGGGGTCATGGTGGACCCAGAACCATGGGCAGAGTCCCTGCAGGGTCCAGGGGACCTCTGGGGGTCCTGCCCTGGGACTGTGCCCCAGGAGGGACCCCCTGCCTCCAGGCCATGGGCTGGACAGGTCACCCACCCTGTGCCCAGCCTACCTTGATGTCCCAGTTGACCACCTTGTGTCCCGTGAGCCTCCCGTCCAAGCTGTGGCTGGGGGAGAGGTCCAGGCAGATGTTGTTCCTGCAGGCCTGGAAGAGAACACCGTGGGAGCATCCTCATGCTCCTGGACATGTCCCTGGTGGCACAGGGTCCACTGGTGTTGTCGCTGTCCCCAGGGGGGTGGGACACCTCTCCTCACCTGGGGGGTGTAGTACAGCAAGAGTTTACTGCTGAGCTCCACCAAGTCCCCTTCCAGTGTGAACAGGGATGTGACATTTGGTCCTGGAGGAGAGGGCTGGGGTGAGCTGGGACATGGTGGAGGAGACCCTGGTCACCACCAGCACCCTGGGGACATCCTCCATGTCCCACCCTGACACACCTGCACAGAAGAGAGCCTTGACCTGGGCTTGCTGCAGAGCCTCACAGAAGATGGCCACGGAGCCCAGGTGACCCTCCAGCGAGGTGGGGCTGCCCCACTCCGTGTCCTGGCTTCCGGCCGCCGTGGTGGCCACCACCCCCTCCGTGGGCAGCTGGGTGGGGGTCCAAGAGTGGGGACCGAGGGTGGCAGGGACGGACTGGGAGCGTCCCAGCACAGGGTGCTGGGTGAAGACCAGCTCTGGCCCGTGGGGTGCCGGAGGGTGGCTGGCAGCGGTGGCGGCCGTCGTGGTGGTCCGGTGGCCCGCGGAGCCGATGCAGCAGGAGGTGAAGGACTGGGAGGGAGAAGGGATCACACTCAGCCCCCAGTGAGGCCATGCAGAAGGGTCTGGGTGGGTGCTGGGAGGATCCCCCACCTCGTGGAGGGAGGGGAAGCGGAGCTGTGCCGTTTTCCGCAGGTGTCCATCAGCGTAGATGCTGACGATGTTCTGGCCGAAGGGCCGGCGGCCGGCCACGTGGACGATGTCAACACAGTGCTGGGGGGACAGAGAGGGACATCAGGGCATTGTGGTGTCCCTGCTGGGGACAGGGACGGGGATGGGGGTGATCCTCACCCAAGCAGAGTCGTTGAAGGGAAACTCGGGCAGTGCCACCGTCATGTAATCCTTCTTGGTGCACACGGCCACCACCAGCACGCCGCCCGCGGTGAAGAACGCCTCAAAGCCCGTCCCGCCCGCCGTGAAGAAGCTGGTGGAGAAAACCATGGAGAAAACCACGGTGGGGATGGTGCTGCTGCCCCTCCCCACCCTCACCTCACCCCCTCCAGCGAGCATCACCTGTAGAGCTGCCTCCTCTTCGGCCTCGCCGGCGGCTCCGGCTCCTCCTCGCTCAGGCACAGCCAGGCATGGAAGGCGAAGGCGCCGCCGGGCCACTTCTGGATGGTGGGCACCATGATCCCGGCCATGCCGGGGCTCAGGTCGAAGCTCTGCAGTGCCCGGGGAGGCCCCTCGCCCCTGGCCATGCCGGACAGTGCCCGGATGACCGGAGCCACGTAGGGATGAGGGCCCCGGCCCCGCTCGCGCCGCAGCAGCCGCAGGAGCTGCCGCAGCTCCCCGGGCCGGATGGAGAGGCTGCCCAAGGAGCGCAGCAGCTCCAGCAGGTTTTGGGAGCAGGCGCTGGGAAGAGCTGGCTCGGTGGCCAAGGCAGCCAGCAGGGAGCCCACCATGCCTGCCTTGACGCAGGTGAGGCGGCTGGGCAGGGAGGCCTCGCAGAGGCGCCGCAGCCACGCCGACAGGAACAGCTGGAGATCCCGGCACTCCAGCGCCGGCAGCCAGGCCAGCAGCATCAGCAGGGGCTGCTCGTTGCAGATGGGACGCACTGGGAAGGAGCTGTGGTCACCCTCCACTGCCTGCAGGGACACGAGAGGGGGTTGGTGCAGCTCCAGTGCTTGGAGAGGGATGGATCCATCCCAGGCAGAGACCTTGTGTAGGCCCTTGTGCATCCAGAATGTTGGAGACTCCCATGCAGCCAGAGTTTGGGGACCCCAGACATCAAGGGGTCTCATGGGTCAAAGACCTTGGAGACCCTCGTGCATCAAGTATGTCAGAGACCTTTATGCATCAATCCTTTTGGAGATCTTCTGCATGAAGAATTCTGGAGACTCCATGCATCAAGAATCTTAGGTACCTCCATGCATCAAGGATCTTGGAGATCCTCATGGATTAAGGGTCTTGGAGACTCCCATGCATTAATATTTTTGGAGATACTGCGCATCCAGAATTTTGGGGACTCCAAGCATCTTGGAGACCTCCATGTATCAAGGATCTTGGAGGCCCTCATGCACCAAACATTCTAAAGATTCTTGTGCATCCAGAATCTCGGAGCATTAAGAATCTCTGTGCATGGAGTGTCTTGGAGGCCTCCACGAATCAAGGATCTCAGAGACTCTCATGCATGAAGCACCTTGGAGACCCTCCTGTGTCCAGCAGTACCAGAGTGAGCAATTCCACATCCAAAAGGGCTCAAAACTCCCAAACCCAAGCACAACTCCGAGTGAAAGATGGACCCAGGACCCGCTGGGAGGAAGCTGCTGAGAAACCAGCAGAGTGGAGAGGATGGGGGGGGGGCTCAGAATGGGGGGCTGATATCCACAGGAACCCCCAGTGCTGAGAGCTTTGCCCAGAGTCAGGAAAAGTGGGAATGCTCACCATGTTGAGGAGCTCCTGGAGCAGATGCTGGGTGGGCTGGCCCTGGCTCCTCAACACCTCGTAGAGGTGGGCGTAGCCGATGCGCTCCTTGAACACCTCCTGGAGGCACAGGGACAGTGTGAGCTGTCACCTTGGGCTGAGCCACCTCAACCCGGGTGAAAATACCCAAATTCCTCTGTTTTTGGGGTGTCCTCCTCAGGGGAGGTCCCCCCTGCCCACCTTGGCTGAGGGCGAGTTGCTCATGATGGCTGTGAGCACCCTGAGGGCGTGGACAGCGATGGCGTCGGAGCTGCTGGCACTGACCTGAGGGACATGGGAATGGAGGAGCTGCTGGGACGTGGGAATGAGGGGACACAGCCCACCAGGGGTGGTGCCTGGGTCATGGGTACCTGCTGGAGTCCATCCCCGTTCCGCGTGGGAACCTCGTCCCGGGCTTCACCCGCCTCCCGCGAGCTGCCGAGGTAGAGCTGTGGGACACGGGTGGGCATGGGACACTGGGAGGGGTTCTGCAGGGCCCCCACCCCAGGGATGTGTCCCAGGATCGTTCAGAGCCAGGAATGGTGAGGATGGAGATGGAGGTGCACAATCCTGGTGTCCCCAAAAGGGACACATCACCCTGTCCCATGGTCATTTAAAGAGGAAATGGCGAACAAGGGAGGGAGGGAGGGAGGGAAGGAGGAAGGAAGGAAGGAAGGAAGGAAGGAAGGAAGGAAGGAAGGAAGGAAGGAAGGAAGGAAGGAAGGAAGGAAGGAAGGAAGGAAGGAAGGAAGGAAGGAAGGAAGGAAGGAAGGAAGGAAGGAAGGAAGGAAGGAAGGAAGGAAGGAAGGAAGGAAGAGGGTGAGGATGGAGATGAATGTGTCCAAAATTGGTGCCACTCTATGCCAGGTTTGTTTATCATCAGGAAGGTGATAAGGATGGAAATGAGGATAGGGATGACGATGGAGATGAGGATGGGGATGAGGATGGACATGAGGATGGAGGAGGGAGATGAGGACAGGGTTGAGGATGAGGAACAGGGGACAGGGATGAGGACACTGAGGTGCCACCCCCTACCTTGCTGTTCTGGAGCAGGCGGATGATGTGCTCGAAGCAGTTGTTGCTGAGGAACACGGCCTGGAGCACCGGCCGGTCCTGGCAGCTCAGCATGGCCGGGATGGCATCTACAGACAGACAGACAGACAGAGAGACAGACAGCCTGGCTCAGCCCCATCCCACCCCACCCCACATCCCCAAACCCCACCCTGCTCCCAACCTACCCAGCATGAGCACCCGCAGGGCGATGAGGCCGCCGCCGGCCGCCGCGGGCAGGTGGGAGTTGAGCACCCTGAAGAATCCGTCCAGGAGGCTCCGCAGGGACACGGGGCCGGTGCCGGGGCTGGAGCCGTGCAGGACGTGCACCGCGGCCACCACGGAGCGCAGCGTCACCTCCAGCAGCGCGGGGGACAGGGCGGCGCCGCTGCCACCCCGCTGCAGCACCCCCAGCAGCACCTCCAGAGCCGCGGGCGTGATGGCCTCGAGCGCGTTGGGCTGCGGGGTCGGGAACAGGCGGGAATTCCGTCACCCGTGGGACTGAGCCCTGCACTGATCCCGGTGTTTATTGACCCCGGGACCTCCAGCGCTGCAGATTTTACCCTGGGGGTGTGAATTGCTTTAAAGCCAGTTTTGGAATTATTGATTGAATTGATTTTTGGTTGCTGCGGAAGTTAAAACTGATTTTGGGTCCAAATTATTAATCCAAGGATTTTCCAGCTTCCAGCCCAGAGGTGAACTGGAGGTGAAGCAGCAGCTTCAGCTTAAAAGCTCCCCATAACTTAATTATTTAATTAATTTTAATATTTTAATGTAATAGTCCAAGAAAATATTTTAATTCAGTAATTTAATTATTATATTTAACTATTTCATACTTAAGTTTAAATGAAGTTAAAGTATTACAAAGTTTTAAATATATTTAAATATAAAGTTTTAAAAATACTTAAGTTTAAAAAAGCCTCATTCAATACTTTAACTATTCAATAATTCAATTATTTAAATTATTGACATATTTTGCTTTATTTTGTTATTTACTTTATTTCATTAATTTTATTATTTAATTTACTTATTTAGTTTTATTTTATTATTTTATTTGTGCTATTTCATTCTTTAATTCCTAATTTAATAAGTATTTAAAATAATTTTATTTAATTCTTAATTATTTTGTCTTGTTTCATTATTTTGTTTTATTTTATTTTATTATTTATTTTAACACTTTAATTTTATTTAATTCTTAATTATTTTGTCTTGTTTTATTATTTTGCTTTATTTTATAATTTATTTTAATATTTTAATTTTATTTAATTTTTAATTATTTTGTCTTGCTTTATTATTTTGTTTTATTTTATTTTATTTATTGTAATACTTCAATTTAGTTCTTCAATTTAATTACTTAATTTAACATTTCTGAAATCTGAATCTTTAATTTCTGAATCTTCAATTCTTCAATTTAATTACTTAATTTAACATTTCTGCGATGATCCCACCGAATTCAAGGCTGGAATATTAAACAGGATTTTAAAAAGCTTTGGAAAATTCAGTGGTTTAATTCCAGCCTTGGAATGAACAAAACTTTGGGGTTTATCCCTGGAATGAGGGGCTCCCAAGGGTACCTTGGATCCGGAGAGGATGGCTCCAAAAAGATGGATAATCCGGAGCTGGATCGTTTCTGGGAGCTGCTTCCCGCCTTGGAAGCTCTCTGTGAGCATGAGGAGGGAAAGATTTCATCACAAAAATGCAAACAGCAAAACAAAAAAAACCCCAAAACCAAACAGAAAAAGGCCCTTTTCTAGCTAAAAATAGGGAAAAATAATTTTTTCACCCCAAAAAATAGGGAAAAAATCCCTTTCCTACCCAAATCCACCCCATGGGGGTGCTGGACCCTGCTGGTGATGGAGAGGATGAGGATGCTCCAGGTTTTCCAGCTCTGGTTGTGCCAGGAACGGGGTTTTGGCCCCAAAAAAGGGGATTTCTGCCAAACTCGTGTTCAGCTGGGGGTTTATGGGGCGGAGTTCTAGGGGATTTTTGCAATGGTGCTGCCTCTAAAAGGGGATTTTTGGGGCTTCCCTGATAGAAATCCCCCTTTGTGTTGATTTTTGCGGGTTCTGCAGGTGGTGCTGGGCTTAACTCCTGCTCTGGGATCCTGCTCCTCTTCTCAGGGCACGGGAGCAGGTACAGGATCCTAAATTTCTGGGGCAGGCATAGGATAAGCTGGAACAGCATCCTATATTTGCCTTGGAATCCTACAATAATCCTGAGATAGGTATAGGACAACCTGGAGCAGGGGTGGGATCCCATATCTGTGGGACAATACAGGATAACCTGGAGCAGGGGTGGGATCCCATATCTGTGGGATAAGCACAGGATAACCTGGAGCAGGGGTGGGATCCCATATCTGTGGGATAAGCACAGGATAACCTGGAGCAGGGGTGGGATCCCATATCTGTGGGATAAGCACAGGATAACCTGGAGCAGGTGTGGGATCCCATATCTGTGGGACAATACAGGATAACCTGGAGCAGGTGTGGGATCCCATATCTGTGGGACAATACAGGATAACCTGGAGCGGGTGTGGGATCCCATATCTGTGGGATAAGCACAGGATAACCTGGAGCAGGGGTAGGATCCCATATCTGTGGGATAAGCACAGGATAACCTGGAGCAGGTGTGGGATCCCATATCTGTGGGATAAGCACAGGATAACCTGGAGCAGGGGTGGGATCCCATATCTGTGGGATAAGCACAGGATAACCTGGAGCAGATAAAGGATCTTTTAAGGTCCTTGGACCGATACCTGCCCCTGGATACAACATCCCTCCACGGATCCTATAAATATTCCCTGATCCCAACCCCCCCATCCCTGGATGCTCTCCCCACTTAGGGATCCCACACCAACCCTCCCCTTTCCCAAATCCCACTTTTACCTTGGAAAAAGGCACCGAACTCGGGGGGCAGCGGGGCGGGGGCGAACTTGTATTTGCTCTTCTCCTTGGCACTGATGGATTCCCTGGAAAGAGAGGGGTGAGGGGGGGATCCAGGACGGGGGAGGGATTTTGGGATGCAGTGGGGGGGGTCCCTCACCCGCTCAGCTGCCGCCGCCAGGTCTGGTAGGGGTCGAGGAAGCACTCGCAGAGGTGCAGGGCGTGGAGCATCCCGTTCTCCAGCTGTGCCCGGCTCTCCAGCTGTGTCCCATTTTCCGGCCGTGTCCCCTTCTCCAGCTGTGTCCCCTTTTCCAGCTGTGCCCCATTTCCCCGGCTCTCCAGCTGTGTCCCATTTTCTGGCCGTGTCCCCTTCTCCAGCTGTGCCCCATTTTCCAGCTGTGCCCCATTTTCCAGCTGTGCCCCATTTTCCGGCCGTGTCCCCTTTTCCAGCTGTGCCCGGCTCTGCTCGTCCCCCGGGATGCTCCGCAGCTGCCGGGAAAGCCAAACTTTAATCCCTGACACACTCCAAAAATGGGATGCAGTTTTTTTTGGGGGGGAAAACTCCACTTTGTAGGGAGAATGGGATCATCAATCAATCAATCAATCAATCAATCAATCAATCAACCAACCAACCAATCTACCAATCAGAGCCCAGAGCAGCACAAGCTGGGATGCACTGACCAATCAGCAACCAGAGTCACACAACCTGTAGGGCTGATGACCAATCAGAATCCAGAGCTGCAGTGACCAATCAGCACCTGGCTCTGCAAAGCTCTTGGCCAATCAGCACCAGAGTAGCACAAGCTGCGGACCCATGAACCAATCAAATTACAGAGCAACACAATCTGTACCACTCTCGACCAATCAACATTGAGTCACACACGCTGTGGACTCACAGACCAATCAGCATCCAGAATCACAAAACCTAGAGATGCTGGCCAATCAAATCTCAGAGCAGCACAATCTGCAGAGCTCTCAATCAATCAGCATCCAGAATCATACAATCCATCGTCTTGCTGACCAATCAGATCCAAGAGTAGCACGTCCTGTGGATTCCCTGACCAATCAGCATCCAGAATCACACAACCTATAGAGACACTGACCAATCAGAGCCCAGACTCACATAATGTGTGGATTCAGTGACCAATCAGCGCTGAGCCCCTTCCCAGCCAATCAGGCCCTGCCCATTCCCGTTCCCAGGACTGTTCCCACTCCCATGATTGTTCCTGTTCCTCTTCACATTCCTGTCCCCATTCCCATTGCCATTCCCATTCCCCTTCCCACTCCCCGTTCCCATTCCTGTGCCCATTCCCATGACTGTTCCCATTCCCATATCCCTTCCCACTCCCTTTCCCATTCCTGTGCCCTTTCCCGTTCCTGTTCCCATTCCCGTTCCTGCTCCCATTCCCATTCCCTTTCCCATCCCATTCCTGCTCCCATTCCCGCTCCTGCTCCCTCTCCCACTCCCGTTCCTGTTCCCACTCCCGCTCCCATTCCCATTCCTGTTCCCCCTCCCTGTTCCTGTTCCCACTCCCATTTCCCCTCCCATTCCCGTTCCCATTCCCCCTCCCTCTTCCTGTTCCCACTCCCATTCCCATCTCTGTTCCTGCTCTCATTCCCATTCTCGCCCACATTCCCGTTCCCACTCCCACTCTCATTCCCATTCCCGCTCCCGTTCCCATTCCTGTTCCCGCTCCCATTCCTGCTCGCGTTCCCATTCCCGTTCCCGTTCCCATTCCCGTTCCCATTCCTGCTCCCATTCCCGCTCCCATTCCCACCTGGCTCCCGCAGAGCCGCAGCAGCCGCAGGACGTGCGGGAGGCAGCCGGGGCTCCTGTCGGGTTGGATGTTCTCCAGGTTCCTGGAACGGAAAACATCAGGAATTCACCTGCACGGCTGGGGGAGGAAATTTGGGAAGGGGAACAGGAAAATTTGGCGGGGAACAAAGTGTTTGGGGCAGGAAAAATGCCATAAAAATTTCTTATATTTTACAGAATTTTTATTATATTACATTGTGTTATTAATTTTTGTTGTTGGAGATGTGATGCAATTTGGGGGGAATGATGGAATTTTGGGGAGAAGAATTTGGGTTTCCTATTTGTATATTTTTATTATATTACATTATTTTATTTATTATTATATCCACGATTACTGTTAAATATATTAATTATTAATAATATTGATTATTTTCAAAAAATTTTCTTAGAGATACAATGCATTTCAGGGAGGATACTCCACTGGGAGAGAATGATGGAATTTTGGGAGGAATGGTGGTTTTAAATTATTATATTTTTATTATATTACATTATTAAATAATATTATTATTAATAATCACGATTTTCTAATTATTATTTTAAGAGATGTGATGCACTTTTGGAGAGGCACTACATTGGAGGAATGACAATTTTGAGGGGCAATAACGTTATTTCTTAATTACTATATTTTAAAAATATTTTGTTATTTTGCATTATTATTAATAATGGAAAATATTTTATATTAATAATTATTATTAAACTATAAAATATATATAAAACACAAATATTATATTAAAATATTTATATGTTTATATCAAATATTTGTATTTTTATATCTATTATTAAGTTGCTATTATTATAATATATTTAAAATATTTTGTTATTTTGCATTATTGTAATTACAGCTAGTATTATTACTACGATTATTATTATTATTGCTATTAATATTACTACTATTAAATAATAATATTATTTTCACTGCTACTAATTTATTATTATTATTGTTGTTATAATTATAATATATTTATTTATATAATAATATTTATATATAATATATAAATATATAATATATTTTTATACTACTACTACTACTACTACTACTACTACTTATTATTATTATTATTATTATTATTATTATTATTATTATTATTATTATATTTTGAAAATTTTGTAAAATTTTGAATGCACTTTAGAGGGGATGTTGTGATTTGGGGGGATCCCAGATTTCCCAGTGCGGTGACTCCCCTCAGGGAGGAATTCTATGGGATTTTTTTTGGGGTGGGGCCCCCCAAAGCCACCCTGGGACAAACCAGGACCTGGGGGGGGGCATGGGACCCCCATCCCTGGGGCTGCTCCGTGCTGGGAACCCGGGACCAGGAGGAAGAGGAGGGCCAGAGGGATTTGGGGTCACCCACCTGCAGATGATGATGAAGAACTTGAGCAGCAGCAGGGCCTGGCCCAGCCCCTGTGTCCCCAGGGCCACGCAGTGTCCCAGCCTCTGGCTCAGCACCTGCAGCACCTCCCGCGGCAGCGCCGGGATCTCGGAGCCCGGCTCCTCGGGCCTGGGTGGCACCGGGGCGCAGGATGTCACCCCGCTGTCCCCAGGGCCCCCGCCCGCCCGAGGCACCGGATGGCTCCGACCGCGGCGGGCGGATGAGGCACCACAACACCCACAGCGGCAGGGCTGGGGCCCCACACGGGGTTTGGGGACACCCGAGCGCTTTGGGGGGCACTCAGCGGTGCTGGGGTTGCTCAGGGGCACGGGGGTCACCTACGGGGATCATTGAGGGGTGTTGGGATTATCCAGGGGTGCTGGGGACCACTCAGAGGGGTCACTCTGGGAGGTTGAGGGTCACCTACAGGGGTCACTCAGGGATGCTGGGGTCACCTACAGAGGTCACTTGGGGGTGGGGGGGGTCACCTACAGGGGTCACTCAGGGGTGTTGGGGGGCACTCAGGGGTGCTGGGGACCACTCAGAGGGGTCACTCGGGGGTGTTGGGATCAGCCAGGGGTACTGGGGGTCATCCAGTGTGGTCACTCAGGGGTGTTGGAGGTCATTCAGGGGTGCTGGGGTCACCCAGGGGGTGTTGGAGGCCACCCAGGATTGCTGGGGGTCACTCAGAGGGGTCATCCATGGATGAGGGGTCACTCAGGTGGGGTCACTCCAGGGTGTTTGGGATCACTCAGGAGTGTTTGGGGTCACGCAGGGCTCTTTGGGTCACTCAGGACTGTTTGGGGTCACTCAAGGGTGTTTGGGGTCACTCAAAGGTGTTTGGGGTCACTCAGGGGGGTCACTGCAGGGTTTTGGGGTCCCACCTGTGGGGCTCCAGCGAGGGCAGGGCGATGACCCTCTCGAAGCTGGTGACGAAAGCCTCCAGCCACTGCTGCAGGTAGGACAGGTCCTTCTGCAAGGGAGGGCGGGGCTGGGGCCGGCAGCCAATCACGGCCCTCCATGGCCCCCACCCGCAGGGATTGGCCAATCACAGTCAGAGAAACCAGCCCCGCCCACTCAGGTGTGTGACACACCCCTGGGAGCCTCTGACCAATCAGAACCCAGAACCGCACAAGCTGTAAAGCCTCTGACCAACCAGAGCCCAGCACAGCATCACCTGCGGGCTCTCTGACCAATCAGCAGTCAGAGGCACAAAACCTGTGGAGGTGCTGAGCCAATCAGAGCCCAGCACAGCACAACCTGTGGAACTCACGGGCCAATCAGCTCGCAGAGCACCTGTCCCTGCAGCCAATCAGGGCACAGCGGGCCCTGCCCGGCCCAGCTGGGGTTGTGCAATGGGGACAGCAGTGACAGTGGGGACAGTGGGGACAGCGGGGACAGCAGGGACAGCAGGGACAGCAGGGACAGCGGGGGACAGTGGGGACAGCGGGGACAGCGGGGGACAGCGGGGATTCACCCAGGCTGGGCACCCCGAGGTGCCACCTCCAGGTGTCCCATGTTCCTGAGCACCTCATGGGGCACCTCGGGGTCACCCCCAGTCCCTGAGCACCCCAGTGTGGCACCTTTGGGGTGCCCTATGTCCCTCAGCACCCCACTGCTGCTCCTTGGGGTCACACAGAGCCCTGAGCACCCCAGGGTGGCACTTTTAGGGTCACCCCCATCCCTGAGCACCCCGTGCCGCCCTTTGGGGTCACTCACAGCCCTGGGCGCCCCAATGCATCAATGTGGGGTCACCCACGTTCCCTGTGCACCCCACTGCGGCACCCTGGGCACCCCCACGCCCCAGTGCAGCACCCTGGGGTCACCCCAATCCCTGAGCCCCCCGAGTCCCCCATACCTGGGCTGTCCCCCCGTTCCCACGGGGACCGTCCCCCCTTTTCCGGGATCCCGCAGGCACCGCCACAGCGGGGCGGGGGACCCCAGAATCCGCCTCCCCCGCGCTTCCCGCTCCACCCCGAGCGTCCCTCGGGACGAGCCGGGGGTGTCCCCATGTCCCCAGAGCCGGTACCTGTCCCTGGGGGTGGCCGTGGCCCTCCATGGCCCCGCAGCCGTGGGAGCGGCGCCGGCGCAGCGGGGCCGGAACGGGCTGCGGGGAGGGGGTGCTTAGGGGGGCCCCCCCTTTTTGTCACCGCTGTCGCTTGTGCAAAGCCACCAAAGAAAAAGCCCCAGAGCTCTCAGGAAATGCCAAGTCACCCGCGGCCCCAACGGCGCTTCCTGCCCCGCTGCCGGCCCGGGGACACCGGCCCCGCTCGGGGACACCGGCCCCGCTTGGGGACACCGCGGTGCCACCGCCGCCCCCGTCCCTGCGCCCCCCGGGCGGCTCCGGGATGTCCCCGAGCCCGCGGCGGTGGCAGCACGAGGAGCTGCATGGGTTCATCCCGGAATTCCCTGCAAATCCAAACCCAAATCCTGGCCGAGCGCTGAGTTTGCCCCGGAATTCCCGGGGCTCCCACCGGGAGCCGCAGCCCGGAATTCCCGGTGGGATCTCCCGGAGCCGCTGTCCCGGAATTGCCGGTGCGCCCACCTGGAGCTGCTGTTCCAAAACTCCCGGGGCGCCCACGCGGAGCTGCATCCCGAACCCGAATTCCCGCTGCGCCCACCGGAGCGGCGGTGCCGCGTTCCCGGTGTGCCCTCCCGAGGCCGCGGTCCCTCCCGGTGGCGGTGGCGGTGCCACCCCGCGGAGCTGTCGCAGCCGGTTCCCGGCTGGCAGAGCCGGTTCGGCCGCTTCGGGGCTCGGCCGGCGCGGAGCCGCCTGGGAGCGCCGGGAATCCGAGCCGGGAATCCGAACCGGGAATCCGAACCGGGAATCCAAATCAGGAATGCCCAACCGGAATCCGAACCGGGAATGCCGAACCGGGAATGCTGAACCGGGAATTCCAGACCGGGAATGTCCAACTGGGAATGCTCAGACCGGGATGCGCAGACCGGGAATGCCCAACCTGAATGCGGAATCGGGAATCCGAACCGGGAATGTCCAGCCCGGAATGCCCAGCCTGGAATCCAAACCGGGAATTCCCAGACCGAGAACGTTGAACCGAGAATCTGAACTGGGAATGCCAGACCGGGAATGCCCAACCGAGAATCTGAACCGGGAATGCCCAGCTGGGAATGTCGGACTGGGAATGCCCAGACCAGGAATCCGAACCAGGAATCTGAACCGGGAATACCCAGCCTGGAATCCGAACCGGGAATCTGAACGGGGAATCTGAACCGGGAATGCTGAACCGGGAATGCTGAACCGGGAATGCCCAGCCTGGAATCCGAACCGGGAATCTGAACGGGGAATCTGAACGGGGAATGCTGAACCGGGAATACCCAGCCTGGAATCCAAACCGGGAATCTGAACCAGGAATCTGAACCGGGAATGCTGAACCGGGAATGCCCAGCCGGCAGTGCCGCCCCTCCGCCGGGAGCCCCCAAAAAGCGACAATGACAAAGGCGCGGGGATGTCACCCCTGCACTGATCGCCACTGGTGACACCGCTGGGGTCACGCTCCCGCCCCCCCCGGAGGGCTGGGACAGCACGGCCACCCCTGGGGACAGCCCTGTCCCTGTCCCCTGTCCCTGCCAGGCCCGGGACAGCGGCTCTGTCCTGGTTTGAAGCCACCGCAGGCACCGCGGCCATGCCCGGGCCACCGGCTGGGGGGCGGCGACAGGGACACGGCCATCGAGTGACACTGCCATCGAGTGACACTGCCATCGAGGGGACAGGGACACTGCCATCGAGTGACACTGCCATCGAGGGGACAGGGACACTGCCATCGAGTGACACTGCCATCAGGGGGACAGGGACAGTGCCATCGAGTGACACTGCAATCAAGGGGACAGGGACAGTGCCATTGAGTGACACGGCCATCGAGAGGGCACCACTATCGAGGGTGACAGGGACAGTGCCATCGAGTGACACTGCAATCAAGGGGACACCACCATCGAGGCTGACAGGGACACTGCCATGGAGGGGACACTGCCATCACCTGGGCCATGTCCCCCCAGCCTTGTCCTCGCCAGGGCCCTGGGGACATGGCTGTGGCAAAGGCCACAGGGTTTTGCTGTGACCTGGCTGGGGAGGTGACGCCGGGGTCTGGCCCTGTCCCTGGTGCCTCGGAGGTGGCACGGCCACCCCGCTGGTGTGGCACAGTGAGCGGGACACCCCGACAAGTGGCACCTGTCCCCACACAACCGTGGGTGACACCTGTCCCCTGTGAGTGCCCTGGCAGCACGATGGGTCCCTGCAGGGCCATCAGACCCTGGTGGCACCACACGTGTCCCCATGGACAGTGTGACACACGTCCCTGCCACCACACACCCCCGATGGATGGCACCTGTCCCCATCCATGTCCCCTCTGTGACCACGGGCACCTGGCAGAGTGGCACCTGTCCCCACACAGCCACAGACAACTGCATCAAGTGACACCTGTGCCACCAAGTGACACCTGTGCCCCTGACACACCTCAGCAATGGCACCTGTCCCCATATGGCCATGGTCACCTCAGTGATGTGGCACCTGTCCCCACATGGCCACCCTGACATTGTGGCACCTGTCCCCAGAGCACCACAGACACCTCAGTGGTATGGCACTTGTCCTTGCACTCCCACGGTCACCTCAGTGTCCCCACGGGACTACAGCCACTCTGACAATGTGGCACCTGTCCCCACATGGCCACAGCCACCCTGACATTGTGGCACCTGTCCCCATGGCACCACGGCCACCCTGACATTGTGGCATCTGTCCCCAGAGCACCACAGACACCTCAGTGCTGTGGCACCTGTCCCTGTCCAACCACGGTCACCTCAGTGACCCCATGGCACTATGGTCACCCTGACAATGTGGCACTTGTCCCTGCACAACCACGGTCACCTCAGTGTCCCCACGGGACCACAGCCACTCTGACAATGTGGCACCTGTCCCTGCACAACCACAGACACCTCAGTGGGGTGGCACCTGTCCCCACACAGCCACAGCCCTGTGGCACCTGTCCCTGTCCAACCATGGCCACCTCAGTGACCCCACAGCACCAGGGCCACCCTGACCATGTGGCACCTGTCCCCACATGGCCACGGTCACCTCAGTGCTGTGGCACCTGTCCCCACACGGCCACCCCGCTGCAATGGCACCTGTCCCCACAGCACTACGGCCACCCTGACAATGTGGCACCTGTCCCCATGGCCACCCTGACAAGGTGATATCTGTCCCCACACAGCCCCCCGGATGCAGTGGCACTGTCCCCATGTCACCCCCCATATCCCCGCACGTGGCCCTGTCCCCCCAAGGTGGGGTGGCCCTGTTTTGGGGTGCAGAGGAGGGTCCCAGGTGACACTGCAGGGCCAGCTGCGGTGACAGGCCCCAGGGATGTCCCCAGCCCGGGACACAGCGGGGTTTGGGGGAGCAGTTTCACCCCCAAACCCACCTGGGGGTGACACAGAGGGGGGGTGGTGACACTCGGGTGCCACCTCCCCTGCAGGACCCGCCCCCACCCGGGGTAATTAAGGACAAAACGACGCACGAGCGACTTTTGGGAGGTGGCTTGGGGGGGTCCCCACGCAGGGACCTCCTTGGGGACATCCCCAGCACCGGCACAGGGTCCCCAACCCCGCTCCCCCCCCCGGCCGAGCCCGCTGTCCCCACCCTGTCGCCGCTCCAATGTCACCGCGCACCTGTCGCCGGGCGGTGGCGCCGGCAGCGGGGGGGACACGGGGACCCCAAAAATCCTCCCGGGGTGACCCCAAACCGCCCCGGGGAGGGCTGGGAGGGGCGGGGGGACCCCAAATTCACCCGGGGAAGGGCGGAGCGGGCCGGGCGGGGGGGTCCCCGCGGGATGCGCTGTCCCCAGGGAGGGGACACGGGGGGCTGGGTGGCCTTGGGGACACCGCGGCGCGGGTGACAACGGCGGGTGCGGGGGGGACGCGGTGACAAACGGGGGGTGGCGCGGACACAACGGGGGGGTGCGGGGTGTGACAGCGCAGGGGGGGATGCGACAAAGGGGGACAGCAGGGGATGGGGACAGGGACACGGGGGGGGTTGGGAAGGGAGGGGGCGCAGCCCGCGGGGGTGGGGGGTCCCCGGTGGCGGTGCCCGGTGCCCGGTGGCCGTGCCCGGTGGCCATGCCCGGGGCCGTGCCCGGCTCACCTTGGCGAAGTAGAGCATCCAGAGCTCGCAGAGGCGCTCCCGGGAAGAAGCCATGCCCGGGGCCGGCCCGGCTGGGAACGAGCGGCGGCTCCGCCCCCCCGGACCCCCCCTCCCGGTACCTCCCCCAGGTGTGGGGGGCGGGGACTCCCCCTCCCTCCCCTCCCCTCCCCTCCACCTGCCGGGGCCGCTCCCCGCTCTCCGCTTCCCCTCCCTATTCCCGCATCCCCGCGCTCATCAATGGGGGGGGGAAGGCAAAGCCCCACCCCACCCCAAATAATTAACGCTAATTAGTGCAGCTGAACCCTGCTCTCCATCGGAGATACCCTGAACAAACAGAACTCGACGCTTTCGCCTCGTTTTCCCTTTTAATCTCCTTTTAAAGCGTTTCCAAATATTTAATGGAGAATTTTTTTCCTTCCCCCTCCCCAAACCCCCCCAATCGATTGCTCGCATCGATACGCTCGGCGCTCGGCGCGCCCGGCCTGCCGCGCATGCGCGCTGCGCGCTGTACGGCAGCGGGACGCGGGGTACAAGATGGCGGCGCCCGGGGGTGGCATGGAAGCCGCGGAGGAGCCCGAGGGGTTCGTGCTGGGGCGGCTGGAGCAGGAGGCGCTGAAGCGACGGGAGCGGCTGAAGGCCCTGAGGCAGCGCACGCTGCAGGTCGGGCCGGGCTGGGCGCTGCGAGGGCGGGGGGAGCCCCGGGAGGGGCCCACGCTGGGGCCGAGGCTGCCGAAGGGGCCTGGGCAGAGGCCTTAGGGTGCCGGGGACAGGCGGAGGATCCTGAGATTTTTGGGATATTTGGGATTCTCAGTGCTTTGGGTGGGACAGGGTTTGGGGATCCTGAGATTTTTGGGATATTTGGGATTCTCAGTGCTTTGGGTGGGACAGGGCTTGAGGGTTTGGGGTCTCAGAGGGTCTGGAATGGGGCTGGGGGAGAGTCAGAGGATCCCATGTTATTTGGGGTACTTGGGATCCTCTGTTATTTGGGTGGGACAGGGTTTGAGGATCCTGAGGTTTTTGGGATATTTGGGATCCTCAGTGCTTTGGGTGGGACAGGGTTTGGGGATCCCAGAGGGTCCCCCGTGGATCCTGAGATTTTTGGGATGCAGTGGGATGGGATTTGAGGATTTTGGCATCCCAGAGGGTCTGGAGTGGGGCTGGGGGAGAGTCAGAGGATTCCATGTGGATCCTTAGTTATTTGGGATCCTCTGTTATTTGGTTGGGTTTGAAGGTTTGAGGATCTTGAGATTCTTGGGATATTTGGGATCCTCAGTGCTTTGGGTAGGATGGGATTTGAGGATTTTGGGGTCCCAAAGGGTCTGGAGTGGGGCTGGGGGTGTCAGAGGGCCTGATGTGGATCCTGAGATTTTTGGGATCCTCAGTGCTTTGAATGGGACAAGATTTGAGGATCCTGAGATTTTTGGGATATTTGGGATCCCCAGTGCTTTGGGGTGGAACAGGATTAGAGGATTTTGGGGTTCCAGAGGGACTGGGGGTGTCAGAGGGTCCCCCATGGATCCCGAATTTTTTGGGATGTGCTGGGAAAGAGGATCTGGCCCTTCCCAGCCCTCAGCCCCTCCATGTGCAGCCTCTGGGATATTTGGGGTGCTGCTCCTGGGACAGGGTGGAATTCCCAATCCCATGGGTGGGTGTGGGACCTGGATCAGTGCTGGGAATGGTTGGACTCCATTCCAAGGCTTTTCCAGCCTCGAGAATTCCACGATTCCAGAACTCTTTTCCCATCACCAATGGAGGCAAAATCTTGGGAAAAGCCCCATTCCAATGATTTTCCTTCTTTTCCTTGAACAGGATCTCCCTGTTTCCTGCCAGGGAGGGTTAATTCCTAAAAAAAAAACCCAGCAAAAAATCCCCAGGATTGGATTTTCCTGCTGCCATTCCCATCTCCATGGCAATGCACACGGAGATTTCCCTAATTCCCCCTTCTCATCCCTCTCCATTAAAAAAAAGGATTAAAATCTCCTTGGGATCCCAAAGCCCATCCCAGGCTCCTTTCATCTCCTGCAATTCCAGCTGGATTTGCCCTTTTTGCCAGAGCTTTGGGATGGGATCCATGGAAATGAGGAGTGACACTTTGGGATGAGCTCAGGGCTGGGGATGCTGTGCCAGAATTCCCAGTGGGAATTCTCTGTGGCTTGTCCTGCTTTTTTCATGGGATGCTTTGGTGGGAAGGACCTTCAAGGTGATCCCATTCCTCTAGGGCAGGGAATTCCAAGCAGCTCTTTGGTTTTTCACAGAGAATTCCTGGTTTTCCAGGGATGGAAAGCTGAGAGCAGGAAAGGAAAAATGGTGGGGGAAAAATGGTGGGAAAGAAATTTTTCCAGCTGGGAGGATCCAGTGTTATTCCAGAGGGATGGACAGCTCCAAGCTCCTGGAAAAGAGCTGGGATATAGAGGGAAACTTTGGAAGATTCTGGGAGAGCTCAGCCATTCCCAGCCCTCAGGGGGAAATATGGGAATTCTTTTGTGATGTGGAAAAGGTTTGGGTTGAAATTCCTGCATTATTAAACCTTGGAGAATCCAGAATCCCACATTTCTTTTGGGAAGGGACCTTAAAGCTCATCCAGTTCCATGGGCAGGGAATTCCAAGCAGCTCTTTGGTTTTTAATGGAGAATTCCTGGTTTTCCAAGAATGGAAAGCTGAGAGTGGGAAAGGAAAAATGGTGGGAAAGAAATTTTTCCAACTGGGTGGATCCAGTGCCATTCCAGAGGGATGGAGGATGGCCCCAAGCTCCTGGAAAAGAGCTGGGATATAGAGGGAACCTTTTCCCACCCTGCTGGAAGATTCTGGGAGAGCTCAGCCATTTCCAGCCCTCAGGGAGAAATTTGGGAATTCTGTTGTGATGTGGAAAAGATTTGGGTTGAAATTCCTGCTTTATTAAACCTTGGAGAATCCTGGATTTCTGTTGGGAAGGAGCCTTAAAGCTCATGCCATTCCTGGGGCAGGGAATTCCAAGCAGCTCTTTGGTTTTTAACAGAGAATTCCTGGTTTTCCAAGGATGGAAAGCTGAGAGTGGGAAAGGAAAAATGGTGGGAAAAATATGGTGGAAAAGAAAAAAACTGGTGGGAAAGAAATTTTTCCAATTGGGAGGATCCAGTGTCACTCCAGAGGGATGGAGGACAGCCCCAAGCTCCTGGAAAAGAGCTGGGATATAGAGGGAAACTTTTGCTGGAAGATTCTGGGAGAGCTCAGCCATTCCCAGCCCTCATGGAGAAATTTGGGAATTCTGATGTGGAAAGTATCTGGGTTGAAATTCCTGCTTTATTAAACCTTAGAGAATCCCAGATTTCTTTTGGGAAGGGGCCTTAAAGCTCACCCAGTTCCATGGGCAGGGAACCCAGAACATTCCAGGCCTGAAATCCATAGGGGAGCAAACCTGAGGCTGTGATTCCAGCAGGATCCCAGTTTTTAATGGGAATGAATGCTGGATATTCCAGAAGGAGCCACCCCAGGACAATCTCAAGCTGGTGAAAATTCCAGCAGTTTTTGTGGAGCAGCTCAAGGTCCTTGGGAAGCTTTTCCTGCCTTTTTTTTTTTGGGGAGATGTGAAAGGCTTTTCCTGGCTTTTATCCCTCTCCTTTATTCCCAGTTGGTTCCATTCCCTTTGACAGCTCATCCCTTTGTTTTCCAGCCTTAATTCCAGCAATGCAAATGATCCCAAGCTTCAGATCTCTGGGAAACATTTCAAGGTCAAAGGATATTCACTGGGGAAAAAAAAAAATCCTTGGAATTCCCAATTCCCAATCTCCCATCCATGCCTGCCCTCTGGCAGTGGGAGCCATTCCCTGTGTCCTGTCCCTCCATGCCTTGTCCCCAGTCCCTCTCCAGCTCTCCTGGAGCCCCTCCAGGCCCTGCCAGGGGCTCTGAGCTCTCCCTGGAGCTGCCTCTTTTCCAGGCTGGACATTCCCAGTTTTCCCAGAGCAGAGGGGCTCCAGCCCTGGGAGCAGCTCCATGGAATCCTCTGGATTTGCTCCAGCAGCTCTGAGCCCTTCCTACCCCGAGGATCCCACCCCTGGATCTGTGAGATCCCATCCAACCCCCCTCTTATCTCCAACATTCCCGAGCTGGAATTGTTGGGAAGAGCCTCCAGGATGAAGCATTTCCTGTGCTCCAGCCCTTTCTGACTTCCCTAAAAAAGCCTGGACAGGAACGGATCCTTCGGAGCTCTCCGGGTGTTTTATCCTGGCTGGAAAAACTTCCCTGGGCTCTGTTTCCACAGCAACACTTTTCCCAAGCCTTGGGCTCTGGATCACGAGGAGCTTTGCTCTGGGGAAAAACAAATCCCAGCATGAAAAAAAAATCCAGGAAAAACAAGGAGAGAAGGAGCCCAAGTGTGGGACTGTCCGGGGCTTTGAGAAAGCAGGGAGAGGGCGGAAAAGCAGGAAAAGCCTGAGGAAAGGAGCAGTGCCAGCCCTTCCTCCTGCTGGGAAGGTGTGGAGAGCAGGGATGTGGCTCTGGAGCAAATCCAGCCAGGAACAAAAGCTTGGGATGCAGCCAGAGGAGTTCTTCCAGCTCGAGGAACAGCACAGGGAATGCTCCGGAGCGGGGAGGAGGGAAGGAGCAATGGGAGACCCTTCCTTCCCACAAAAACACGGCAAAGCTCCGGCTTTTTAAGGATTGGGGGGTAAAAAAGCAGGAGAAGGAGATGTGGGGGTCTTGGATGAGGAGTTTTGGGATGGGAGAGGGAATCTGAGCCTGGAATTCCCACAGTGAGCTCACCAGGGTTTTGCTGAGGGATCCTTTGGGAAGATCCAGCAGCATCCCTACGGATCTTAAAAGGAGAGGAATTCCCAGGGAATTTTCCTTGGGAATTTCTAGGGAATTTTCCTTGTGAATTCCCAGGGAGTTTTCCTGGGAAATTCCCTCAGAGTGGGACTTTGAGCCATCAAATCCCACAGAATTCCACAGCAAGGGCAAAAGGAAAAGAGGAAAAGCTGGAAATCTGGGAAGTGCCCAATGGGAAATGCCAAATATTGTCCCAGCAAGGAATTTTCTCCTTAAGTTATGGGAAAAGTCCCTCATCCCCCAATTTCTAC